CTGGGAAAATTCCTGTACAAATAGGACATGTTCAAGATCTCCCCAGATCATGGTGTAGAGATTGGAAACATCTGAATTGACCATACTGGTTAAACTGTATGCACCACATATCCTTACGCTGCTTACAATTCAGAAGAATTAATATCAATTAATTTTTAAAAATTCAAATTGAATAAACTGAAACTTGAACACGGCATCCAATAAGGGAAAGTGGGAATCGATTTCATCATTTTTGCCGCACACGTTTAACAGAAAAAAGAAGCTAAATCAGAACACATTTGCTATTAAGGATGCCTGTTTAACGGTCTATCATATTTGCAGAACAAGTACAGAAGAGACAGCAGCAACAAAAGCATATTCCCTATGAAAAACTGAATATGGGTTACTACTAAGTGAGAGACAGCAGACTCAAAGCAAAGAGAGAGAGAGAGATGTCAAAAGACAGGCCTCCTTCCATTCTCATTTAATCAAAGCCATACAATTAGTAGATGTCCATTGTTCTTTAAATTTTATTTTATACACAACAATGGATGCAATAAAATATAATAAAATATAATTAAGAGGAGCCAAGTCACACTACTTGATTTCAGTGGCATACGGATTTGTACCCATTATGTTTTGAAGCTACCCATGCCTTAACTATGCCTTCAAAAGCTCCAAGCTACGTACTGTTCGTCCTGTGACTAATGAAAACTGGATATGTCCATTCCTTTCACAATTCCTTCTACCTATTTCACAATACCCTCAGCCCCTGCTGGCCTTCTTAGAATCCTGGCAAAAACAAACACTTCAATTAATTAGTGCTAGAGACTGAAGCACGATTACAATGAGGAAGCAAAGGATCAGGCCCTAGTGGTACAGGATAGAAAAATGTGTCCTAAAAAAAAAAAAGCAACAGCAAGCATTAGTTTACAGCAAAAATTTCAGAATACTGAAAAATAAGCAAGACTATCCAGGACACGCACAGTTAAGTTGAATGTGCCCCAAGCCTGAGAAGAAACAAACTCTTACCTCAGTATGTAACTGGGAACCATGGCATAAAAGCGTCAAGATCTACCTTATCATACTACAATAACATCGCTATTGAAGAAAGCCTATTAGAGAAGAGAGCATATTTAAATCATCATCATCATGTAATGGTTAAGGTTTTTTTATTTTTTTTACTTTGTGTTTACTTGAGCAGGACAAGCATTTTATATGAAGCCAGTTTCACTTTTGCATATATTGGTAGTTTCCCTGCTGATGCTGGAACTGAATTGCCAATACCATGCAGACAGAGGAGATGCTGGGTTTGTTTTTTGTTTTTTGTTTTGTTTTGTAACATAAATAATTAAAAGTGTTTAATATATAGTTTTAAAAAATAAATAACTTGGAATAAACTTGAACCGTTTGGTTTTTTTTAAGCTGCTCACGGCCACAAGTATCTTTGCTGTGCTGCCGTAGAGAAGTCCTATAAAATTACATAAGGATGAAACTGATCAAGAAGGTCACTTTTTTCATCTTTTTCTGAGCAGAATGTTTCATGTAACAGCTCTCCTTGAAAATTACTAAGGCTTTTTTTTTAAGAGATGCAGAAAGGATATTTTAAATGGAGTTAAAACTAACTCTAAATATCTTTAAGTTTCTTGCTTTTGTTGCTATTCTTTAATACTTCAAAGGTATTCATCTATGCTTCTCTTGCAGGAGAGAAAACTTATTATTTATAATAAATCAGAAATCTGTCCCATACGACTTCATGAAGTAAAAAGGACTGAATGATTTTCTCTCTTCCATAAAGGCTTTAGCCAAAGTCCATTGAAGTCAATGAACTTTGGGTCGTGACCCTAAAGCCAAATATAGCAGAAAATAATTTCCGAAACAAACTTCACTTTAGTAGACATTTTGCTACCAAATTTGCCTGCTTGGTATTTTCACATTCTGGTCCTATTAACAAGTAGGGACTGACTAAACTCTCAAAGGAATTAACGAAGAATACATGTCTACCAGTCAGTCCAAATTGTTTTAGCTACAGGGCATGGCAAAGCATGAAATAGCTACTTCAGAGCACTTCCTCGTGTGGGTGTGTTAGATAACTGTCTGTTCCAACGCTAAAATAAAGCATACTGTGACCAACCCAATGCTACTGTAGGATGTTCTCCTACTAGATGGAAAGGGGTTTCAAAGAACTGCAAGGTGCACAACCTATTATGCCCAGCAACGTTACTAACATTCATTACTGCTCACTCAGTTACTTTTTCTGAAGTTTACTTTCCACGGCTCAATGCAAGTTACCATCAAGTACCATACAAGTTACGGCTCAATACAAGTTCTGTTAATTAAGAGAGATTTTGCAGGGAAATAATTTATGCCCAAAAAGCAAATATTTTCAATGACAATTTTTTTCTTTTAAAATCCACATTCTTCTTTTAACTCAGGAAAAAGCATGCACGCACACACACACACACACACACACACACAGAGAGAGAGATTTGCCCCATGCAATGTGATATTCTGCTCACCCAAGGGTCTTATAAAATTAAGCAATATATTTTTACCCTTTTTTAAAAAGGGGGGTGTAGAACAGCTGGCACAACACCTTCCATACCACAAATTCATGAACTATTACAATAAAATAAAATACGATAAGCCTGCAAGGATCCCTGCACTTGAAAGAGGTATCCTATAAGGGAATATATACTATTCTAGTTCAAAAGCAAGCATCAGGTGTCTGAAAACACATACACTTCACATGGGGTGACTGGCAGCTGAACACTGCTGCTGAGGCTTGCCAAGCGTTCACCAAATTGCTCCCCCTCTGAGGCATTTAATAATTTGCACACAGCTCTTCTCGCTTTCCTACCTCCCAGCCTAGACCAAAGTTTCAAGGTCTGCAATTCCTGGCAGGGGAACTACGTACACTTTTAAGGCTACAGATTCTTATGCTTAGTTCATATATATTTAAAAAGAAGTATATGTTCTTCCTTAAAAACAACTGTTGGCGTGTTTGACTTAAATGATAAGTAAGGGAAGATAAAAGAGGCAACTGAATTGCTATCCGAAGTAACATCATCTTGGGGTGCTGGGGGTGGAGTGTCACACTGCAGAAAACTGTACTTAAAAGTCCATCATAAAACATTTTGCCTACCAAACTTATTTTAATGCACATTTATCAAAGCATTAGGGGCTGAAAACAATTCAATATAGCAAGAGGGAGCCTTATTTGCCAAGTCTGTTGGATCATTTGTTGCAGTAGTTTAAATTAACATGGCTTGTCCAGCATATCCTCTGGTGAGATGGGAAGCTTATAAGTTTAAAAAAACAACAGCAGCAACAAAAGAAAAACTTGGCACGCTGCTTTCAAGTGGACAACACTGATAACATCAAAAACTTTTATCATCTGGAAAGTATAAATTAAATAAATGATGCAAGCAATCTCTTCTACGCTGCTAGGTGGGTTAGGTAAATAGCTGTAAGGCCTCCTTTGTGTTATCAAGAAAGGCCTAATGCAATTTAAAATAAGGTATGTCTCTTGTTATTTTATAATCTTGTTTTTAATGGATTGTGACTGTTGAAAGATCTCCACTGATTAGCATCCATTTTCTATAGCATAGTAATTACTCATGGATTCTTCACAATATTTTATGTAACTCCCTTCCACTTTCTCCTGCTTTCTTTTTATACAGCCAGCGAGTGTTGTAGTTTTACCCTGTAGAAGCACTGACATGAGTTCAGGTTTAAAAATCCTTCTAAATGGATCAGCTTGGCCAGGCTTTAAAAGCTACTGCGGGGAGGTGGGGGGGGGCGAGAGAAAGAACTATCATGAAAAGCTCCTCAAACAATTTAAAATGGTATTCGGCACTCATCACAGTCCGTTCCTTGGCAAAATAAAAATAATCTCGCAAACATCTCCAGTGCTTGAAACAATATACAGCTTATGGGAGAAAAGGAATAAATAGTATTTTTTTAAAAAAAAAATAAAGCACCCCCTCTCAAGACATTTTGGTACATTGTAAAAGACCCTCTCCCTGCATCAACACAGAGCAAGACACAAGAACACTTCAAGAGAGTGTGGGATGAAAAGAGTTGTGTGTATATATGCGTGTGTGTTGTGTGTGGAGGGGGGGGGAGGAAGAGGATTGGAAGAAATCAGGGATACTAACTCCCTTTTAGAAAGTTTGAATTCTTATTCCTCAAGAGTAGCTCGTCTAGTAAAAAAAAAAAAAAAAGCTATACTCTCTCTTTTTTCCCTTCTTTCACACACTAGCAGCAATCATATTTTTTTCAAAAAAATATTTTTTGGCAGGCAGGGAACAGATAGATGTAGAATATTGCATTCGAGAACATCTATCCCCAAAGAATGATTTATATATATTTTTAAAATCCCTTTCAAAATAGTGCGGCCTGCTTCCCAGGTTGCAATTTGTTTTCATATATCGAAAATATGGACTTTAAACTCACAACAGATACCAAACAAAGAACAGTAACTGTAATCTCTGGTCACCGGCATTACAGTTAAAAACTCATTGGCAAACACAGAGACAAACACACACACAACATTTAGCAGCAAACAAGGAGAACATGATATATGGACAGACAGATGGAACATAAACAGAAAGGAAAAAGCAGAGACCCACTAACATACGGAGAGGGTTGTTTTAAAGGAGTGAAAGATATTGATTTACTTGGAACCGGTGTTGGAAAAACAAACATATTTGTTTCCTTTCCTGATTTAAAATAAAAAGTAATTAAAATGAAATATTATAAAGCAGCATATCTTTAAATAAGTGGTATGGAGGAAAGGGGGGGGGATGCATTTGTGAAGGAGGCTGGCCTATAGATGTTCCAAAATTTTCTGCTCACACATAGGTCTCACAAACTTGCATCCCTAAAATAAAACAGTAAGAGGAGAGGAGATAATACAGAAGTGTCAAGGGAAGGAGGGGGGGGGATTGTGGGGAAAGGAAAAGGAAAATATTCTCTCTCTCCTCCTCTTCTTTTTTTATAAAAGTTGACTGGCCTACCTTGCTCCCCAGTCCTCAGTTTGTCTCCTCATAGTCGCTGTCTCCCTGGAAGTGCAGTGTGAATGGTAATGACTGCCTGCCTCCCTAATGAGTCCATTTTCCTGCTCTTGATGTTGTGTATATACACACACTGCAACCTACCTTACAAACCACAGAGACGGGAAAGGGAGAGAGAGAGAGAGAGAGAGAGAGAGCGAGAGAGAGAGAGAGAGAGCGCAAAGCGAGAGTGTGAGAGACAGAGAGAAAGGCACACACAGACAAAGCCCTCCTACCAGACAGCAGACAACCCTCCTTCCCCTATCTAGCAAAATACAACTCGGCTAATGCAGCAACAGGTTCAACGCTGCCAGACTGAGACCGTGCAATAGAAAAGGGTATATATATAGTGGAGATCAGGATTTCTGGCACACAAGCCGTTTAATGTCAGCTGGCCCCACCTTCCTTATTTATGTTACAGGATGTTGGAATGCATTGTTCCAGGCAGTCCGTGTAATTATCATAAATACATTTTTTTGGTGTGTATATTAGCAGGAAAGGCTGAAATGCATCAGCCACTCTGCTTTGTAACCTGATAGCTTTAACACATGCATGGAAAGTGTAAACATATCTCTTTTGACAGGCAAACCACACAAAGCCTTCTGATGATTGGGCATGAGATCTTTTTAAGAAAGCAACTCCTGAAGATAGATTTCCCCAGACAATAGTGGAGCAGGGAAAACCGATCTTGCTTAGGAAGAAGGCTGCAGAAGAGGTTGCCAGTAAACAAATTAAGGGAAGGCCATTTCTCCAGCATTCCCTCCCTCCCAAATATATATATATATATGGAATCTTCTCCCCACAACAGCTATAATAATGTCTTCTACTTATGTCTGAACAGGTGCAACATGTACTATAGGACATAGTACATACTGTTACAAGGACAGAAATAAACCCTTTTTTTGAACTGTAAACAGGACATGGTTATTTAAACTAGTATAAGGTCTCAGATGCAGCACTTTAAGCTCACCCTCAGTCTGATACATTAAGAAGAAAATAATAACCACGCAATTGAACAGTAAAAATGAGATTTTAAAACATTATGCCACATCTAAAATACACATGTATATTTACTTAGCAGATACAAGGCAGACAAACTTGTACTCTTATGTGACCAACTTTCAAGTGAATTTCTATGTTCCCATCTTAAAGCTGCAGAAGCAATATTTTATATACAGTGATGGGAGAGAGAGAGAGAGAGAGAGAGTATATAACATTTCATGTGTGGTAAGAACCATACATATATACCATAAGTGAGCTTATAAAGTACACACAAATGAGCAACTAGGCTACTTCCCACGGGAGACACATTCTCAGCTTCAAGTCTGCAGAAAAAAATAAGTCAGGTTCAAAATATTTGGATGATACATGCACCCTCCAACTTGTTGTAAGACTTGCTCACTCAACTCCACTGTACACACAATTTCTAATACAGTACCAGAAGTAAAAATAAAAATATGTGGGCACAGAGACTTATAGAGAACAGCCACAGTAGTGAAAAATACACATACTGTATCGCTTCCATAGGTGGCTTCCCCAGAAGTACGGTACATTTGTCTATTACTACAACAGGCTAGGCACTGTCCTAATGTGGACTGTGGTTACACACAAAGGAAGCTGCCTTATACCAAGTCAGAGCCCAAGTCCATGTAGCTTAGCATGGTCTGTCTGCACTGACTGCCAGCAGCTCTCCAGGTTTTCAGACAGGAAGTCATTCCTAGTGTCACCAGAAGATGTTGGGGATTAAACCTAGGCCCTTCTACATGAAAAGCAGGTGCTCTACCACTAAACTACAGCCCTTCCCACAGTCAGCTTGCTAAATAAAAGGCTTATGAGTTTTTGCTCCAACAAAATTACTCCTGCAGGTGAAGATAGATAGGCTGCAGCATTCTGGAGGTCTTTATTATTTTACCAATTTTGGATGAGAAACAGAAAAATACTTGTAAGGGTACCAGCAATCTACAGAAATACTGAAAATCTTAACAGGAACATGGCTTATAATATATCTCAAGCTGCGCATATCCAGGGCAGGGATTCAGTGTCATAGCACATCCAAGTCTGACACACAAGTAGACACTCAAAATAGATACAGCTGTATGTCCTCCCCTTTTTTTACGGGTGTGACTTGCAAACACATTCCTATGAACAAACATTGTAACTGTGAACATATGCAGCTGCCTTATACCACATCAGACCCTGGACCCATCTATCTTAGTACTGTCCACTCTGACTGGCAGCAGCTCACCAATGTATCTGGAAGTAAGCTGAGCCCTGCCACACAAGGTCCTTGGCTGGCATTGCTGGGGATTGAACATGTGACCTTTTGTATGCAACACACCTGCTTTATGATGGAGCTATGGTTTCTAACTTCCTCCTCTGCTACAAACAGTCTTGAAGAACAGTGTTGCAGCAACTTGCCCAAGGGCTAACAGTACATAGCTAATACTGATATTCAAAGTATAACATGATAATCACATTATTTTTTCCTGTTTACATCTCCCTCCATCTCCATGATCTCCCACTGTTGTCCCCCTTGTGGCTATTATTAGATTATAAGTCCTTTGAAGTAGGAACCTGTCCTTTCGTTCTTTGTAAAGTGCCAGCAACCTATATTACCTAAAATAAGATCCAATCACTTCATTGAAGGTGGAAAGGGAGACATTACCGGGATTTCAAAGGCGGAATTGACATCTGGGGGAGAATTTCTGAAAGGCGGCGCTTTGTCCTGGATCTTAGGCAAGTCAATTGAAAAGCTCAACAACTTTCGGGGGGTCCTGGTTTTTACTTTTTAAAATATGGCAACCGTATGTATTCTGACATGCTACTATGGCTATAAAATAGGTATATGTTGTTTTCCCAGCAGTGGCAGATCAACAGCAATGGGGAAATGCTCCTGGTGTCTTGCTCACAGCTATAACAGCAATAACCAATCCCAGAAAGGAGAGGGGCAAGAGAGACCTTTGCTTCCAACCCGCTACTTAACCCATGAGCAGCAAGCCAGATAGATAGAAGAAGAAGAAGAAGAAGAAGAAGAAGAAGAAGAAGAAAGAAGAAGAAGAAGAGGAGGAGGAGGAGGAGGAGGAGGAGGAGGAGGAGTTTGGATTTGATATCCCGCTTTATCACTCCCCTTCAGGAGTCTCAAAGCGGCTATCATTCTCCTTTCCCTTCCTCCCCCACAACAAACACTCTGTGAGGTGAGTGGAGCTGAGACACTTCAAAGAAGTGTGACTGGCCCAAGGTCACCCAGCAGCTGCATGTGGAGGAGCAGAGACGCGAACCCGGTTCCCCAGATTGCAAGACTACCGCTCTTAACCACTACACCACACTGGCTCTCAAGATAAGATGGTAGGATGGGAAATTGGAGGCTCATTTGAGAGTCTGGGGTATGGAATCAGATCCTTTTGCATCTCCCAGTGACATAATTAAGCTCAGAATAAGCAATGCTATTTTTTTAAGCTTGGGGAAATAGTTTGTATGTCCAAATCCAATTCTGTTCATAATTGAGGGAGTTTGCCCTATCACTACAACCTATCTACTGTAGTAATCCCAGGGTTCAGTCTGAAAGCACCTTCCTGAAGACTAGAGTCAAGGTCTACTCTAGTCAGTGCCTGGATGGTGACTATCTGGGAACTACATGTACACTGTCTTGGGTTCCATGATGGGAAAATATAAATCTAACAAAGGCAGCAAAAATGGCCTTGATATAAAGACATTTCCAATGTTTCCTATAATTTAACAATCCTATCACAACACTAAGTAACACTCAAGTTAGTATAGAAAACTTTGGTTTTATTGAACCCAGTAAGAAGATATAACAAGCGCTGCTGGATCAGACCGAAGGCCTATCTAGTTCAACATCCCGTTTCCCACAGTGGTGAACCAGGTGCTTGTAGGAAGCTCATAGCACAACACAGAGGCAAATACCCTGTCCTGCTGCATTTCTCCTCCCAACAACTAGTACTTGGATGCATATTGTGTCTGAAACCTGAAGACTGCGTATAGCCAGAATTCATAATATGTAGTGTGAGCCAGTAGCTTATGGCTTCAAAAAGAGTTTAGACAAATTATTGGAAAATACGTCTAGGAATGGCTGTAGCCATTAAAAGAGGTATTCTCCAAGGATTTGTCTAAACTCTTTTTCAGGCTCTAAGCTACTGGCTGTCATTACATCTTACAGCTGTGAATTCTGTAAATCAGTTGGGCAGTATCCAACGAAATAGATCTGCTAGTGCAAGGATTTCTGCTTGTACCGTGGAACAACTTCTTTCCTATCACCGCAAACACTCAATCTGTTCTAGGGGTCATCCCCCCAACAATCCAGAGCAGTTTTTTTTAGGGGTAGGTGGGTACAGGCGCATGCAAGGAGCAGAGAATTTCCATTATGCAAATGAAAATCCTTGTGCCAGCAGATCTATGTAGCTGGATAACACCCACTGCTTGTTGGCTGAATTTTATTTTATTTGTCTGACCTAAGATCTCCCTCCATTCAGGTTCAATAGATAACCCCGAATTCTAGTATCATGAGAGATGGAGAAAAACATTTTTCTACGTGCCTTCTGCACACCATGCATAATTTTCTAAACCTTCATCGCCTCCCCTATTGATGAACTGGCAGGACAGCGAGGAGGAGGAGGAAGAGGAGGAGGGATGGGGAAGGAAAGTTTGGTGTAGAAGTACTCACAGGGCGACAGAGGATGACGAGGGGATGGGGAAGGTCAGTGCACAGGAACCAGAGCAGCAGGAACCATCACCAGAACCAGAGGGGCATCTGTCTCCACAAACATGTCAGGCTCTGAGGCATAGGGAGCAGCAGGCAGGGCACTCTAGGAGGTCTGAGGCAATCAAGGGCCGACAGCCCAGCAACCTAGCTGGTCAGGTGGGGGTCGTTAGCTCTGGGAGGAGGTGTGGGAGTTCTTAGCTGAAGTAGGCTTGGAACAGGTGAGGGTCACATACCTCATCAAGCCCAGATGATGCAAACAGCATGCAGAGTACAAACAGGAGCAGAGCTGAGGTGCTGTGTCTGCTAAATGGCCCATGTTGATGGACCTCAGCTTGGATGTGTCAGGATCTCCGCGGGGCTGTGCTTCAGCTTGGACATGTGTTTTGACCCTGGACTGGGGACTTGACATGCTAACTTGCTGCCAGGTAGGCCAGGGGTTCACAACGATAACTTCTTTTCTAAACTAAAAAGTCTCAGACTTTGCAACCTTTCCTCATAGGCCCCTAAAGTTTTTGCTGCCCTTTTCTGCACCTTTTCCAGATCGACAATATCCTCTGTCAGATGCAGCAACCAAAACTATACACAGTCTTCCAAATGGCATAACAGCATTACAATATCAGAATGGAATTCACCTTTTTCAAAGCTGATGCACGCTATGTCAAAGTTTTCCACCAACATCTATTTTCTCCTTCGTTATCATGAATTCAGACCCCACCATCATATAAACAAAGATAGTCTATTTTCTCCAGTGTGGATCACTTTATTCTTACATCCCAC